TCCACCTTATACTGTTGTTTTAAGGGTTAAGTGAGTTAATATACAAACTATTCCGGGGTCATTGTAAGAATTAAGTAAACAGTAATTTTTTAAAATTATTATTTCCTTCTGGGTAAGACACTGGCAGGTCTGGGCTAGCCTAGGGAGGTCCTCAGCAGGAGGAGTAGAAAAGGGTGACTTCCCCAACCCCGCTCCAGGGTCCCTAAGCAGGAATCTAACTGGGGAAGTGGAGGGTGCCTTGCCACGCCCACCCCCGACTCAGACCTTGGCTGGGAATGCAAACCAGATGTGTCTGAGAGCTACACAGGGCAGCTCCTCTCCCAGCTCCTGTTTGGACGATTTCCAAGGCCCCCAGATGCAGAAGGCCTGGCCGCAGCGCTGGGGATGGACAGGCCAGCCCAGGCCAGGCCAAAGGGACGGAGTGCAAAGGAGCCCTTCCCAAGAACCGGGGACCTCCAGCCCTCGGTTCCCAGTGGCCCCAGCCTCCTGAGTTCACCAGATTCTTTCCGAGCTTTCTCCGGGATGTTCATCCTCAGTTTCCCACCTGTAGAAGGGACACAAAGACAACCCCTGCCTCCCAAAGGGGTTCTGAGTGGTAAAGGGGCCACTGGGGCTTTGGGAGCCGGGGACACATCAGCCCACGTCTCGTCCTGCAAAGGAGGTCATTTTGTGGTGTCCTGCAAAGCGGAAGTGGTGTCAGTGGAGGGGGAACTAGGCAAGCCCTGTGGCCAGAGAGAGGAAGAACAGGGTCCTGATGTGGAGGGAGGCAGCCAGGGGCAGTGCGGGGCTGCGGCATTCCAGCCCTCGGCTTACCCCCCACTGAGAGAAGTTGGGGGAAAGGGGGAGGCAGGGGTGCAGGGCGTCTCGGCCTTCCACAGAACATAGGGGACTTGAGGTTGGCTTAGTAGTTGGGGAACCCTGAGTAGTCGAGGTCCCCCACAGCCAGGCTCACCACAACTGACCCAAGAATTCCCCAGGGAACCCCCTCCAGGAGTTGAATTGGGGTGGCTGACTGGTGAGTCAGCCTTTCCCCTCGCCCCAGGAAGTGACTCACACCCGCCCTCCTGGCTCATTTGGGCTCCTCTGGAATATTGGGGTCGCAGGCCCAGATGGCCAGGATGAGATGTCTCCCCCAAGCCCCCCTACATCCCTCTGCTGATTCATCCACCACCACCCCCCTTTCTGATTTGTTCTGCGCTGCCTGCCCCCTCTCTGTGTATGTCCCTTTGGGTTTATCTCTCTGCGTGTCTCACTGTCCCATCTTCCTGGCTCTGTTTTTCTGAAGGTTTCCTATTTCTCTGTCCCTCTCTCTGGATCTCTCTCGTCTGTTTTCTTCCTTCTTCTCTCCCTTCCTTCCTCCTCCCCCTTTATTCACCCTCCATCTCTATTCCCTCGTCTGTCTCTGTGAAC